CCTGTTTTAGTGCAAAAGACGGAGTCAGGTGCAAACTTCATGGATCAGCACAGCCTTTATTCAGTGGTGAAATCACATATCTGATGGACCACTTTCCTGGTGGAAAATTAGTCATTGGCCAAAGTGGGAATCTGTGCTTATATAGATTACACTGAGAGGTGACTTAAATTAATGAGCATGTCAATTTGGGGACTCAGGAATTTGAGATCTGTTTTTACTGGGCAAGATGGAGGGTCTGGGGAAGGATTTGTTTTGGGAAAGATCAATGTTTTGGCTTTTTCCCAGAGACTGTCATTCCAGGCTTGATGGATGTCTCCTCCCCAGGGCTTGTCTTGTCACTGGGAAAGAATGTATTGGGAAAGGGTCAATGTTATCAATGTGTGTTGCATTCTTCCTCATTTCCTCTTCCCAGGACACACGATCTTGGGGTTTGTCATTTTCCATATTTAATAATTCCAAAGTTTGACCATCAAAATATAATAAGAACAATGGGTGTATTGACCATAGTAGAGATGGGGAAAACATATCTAGCTTGTTCTGCAGTCTTGTCTAGTTTTAGGCTTTGAATTAAGAGTGACCCTCTGGAGATGACTTAGGAGCCAAAACCAACAAGATACAATTTTTACAGAGTTAAATGTAAATCATACATTTAGGTTAAGAAAAGAATTCAGTTGCACAAGTTCAGGATGTGGGTTATCTGCTTGACAGCTAACTTAGGGGGGTTTGTTGGCCACAGGCAAAATTAATTATGCACCAACAACGCGCCCTGTTGCTGAAAGAGTGCATGCCATGTTAGAATGCATTAACACGAGTGTAATCATCTGCCCTAGGGAGACCCAGTGGTCCCACCAGCATCTGTGCTATGAGCTCTCATTTCTCGTCTCACCCCAGGCACCACATCTTCAGAGGGGAGCACTCAGAAAGATTAGAGAGCAGTCAGGATGGTCAGGGGTCTGGAAATTATGTCCTAAGGGACATGGTTAGGGGAGAATGGAGCACATTTAGGAAGAATATGATCACAATCTTCAAAAATGTAAGATTGTTACATAGGAGAATAAAACTATTTTTTATTGTTGATGTGGAAGAATTATTTAGAAGTTACAGAAAGCCAAATTACAAAAGGTAATGAATAGATGAAAATTTTGAACAGGATAAAAGAGCTCCTATTACTGATGTGTTCATGAGGAAATGCCCAACTGTGTTTTTATGTTGGACTTGATGACTTATAAAAAGTACTTCTAATTGTGAGATGCTCTAACTCCCTGTGTCATGGGTTTATAAGAGTTATCAACAAGAGGCTACATGTTAATTTCCAAAGGATAGAGGAGTTACTAAGAATACCAACAGAAGTTCATTCTTTAGATAATTATTGAAGTAAAGCAGGCTTTAAAACTTATCAGGTTGTATATTATATAACTAAAAACCTTTCTTTAGGAACTATCCACAACCATGCAGTGTTACTAATGAAACATGGCAAAAACTCTTTCCTGTGGGGCGGTGGTATTAGTGTGTGTATGTGTTTATTTTATTTCTGCAGATCTTTTCAGTGAACCATTTTAACAACCTTATCAAGGAGTCCTAAATTTCTTACTTCAAACATCTCCTCCTCAGAGAGACCTTTTCTCACAATTTAACCTGACCTCATGTTACTTTTCATCTCCTTTTCCTGGTTTCTTTCCTTCATATCTAGCACTGAGCACTAAAGGGAATTGGTGGTCTGTTTTTTACTTACTTGTTGTCTGCCATACTTCTCAACATATAAGCAGGATCTTTTGGATCTTGTTCACAGTGGTACTTCTAACATTCAGAAGAGAGCTCCCAGTATGTAATAAACACATGATAAATATAACTGAATTCATGAAGCATCTAGGTTGTGAGACATTTCTCAAGGTAACTCAGTCTTTTCCTCAGTGTCCCTGCACCTTATGTGTAATTTAAATAATATGTGTAGAAGCCTGCATGTTTGCCAAGGCAACAGAATGTGAATACTGTCATCTGTCCTTTAGGAGAAATGTGTGAAGTTAAAGGCCACTACTGAGATATCCTTTGGTTATCTTACTCTATGAAGGATAACCTTTCTGGGTGCTGTGGCACCACCTATAATCCCAGTGACTCCGGAGGCTGAGGCAGGAGGATTGCAAGTTTCAGATCCTCAGCAACTTAGGGAGGCCCTGTCTCAAAAAAAATAAAATAGGGCTGTGGATGTGGCTCCGTGGTTAAGCACCTCTCTGTTAAATTCCTGGGAGAGGGGGAAGGAAAGAGGGAGGGGGAGGGGAAAAGGGAGGAAGAAAGGAAGGGGGAGGGAGGGAGAAAAGAAAGAACGAACCTCAAGTTATATTTTCTTCACCCCCTTTTAACGTCTACATTTCACAATCTTTCTTGTAGAGCTTAGAATTTGTGGAACATTTTTTAGCCAAACTGCTATGTAGTTAATACATCAGATAAAGATGGCCTTTCTGGGTCTTCTATGCCTTTTGCAACATTTTTTTTTCTGGGAGCTAAGCTGGATCAAAACCCAACCATGATGGTCAGTCCGCCTGTGGAATTTATAGCTTACTTTGTACAATTTTTTTTTTCCTTTTCAGACTCTTGTATCTTCTCCTCCCACTGGATGACTTTGTCTCATATCCTGTGTAGAAAACAGACACTGCCAGCCAGTCAGGAACCCCATCTTTCCATCACCAAACCCATTCTCTTCCCTACCTGCTCTTGCTTTCTCTACCTCTCTTCTTACTACCCCAGATGACGAACCCCTACTCCTCTGGCCAGCATCCACTTGTACTTTGAGTTCCATCTTCTAAATCATTTGATTCTGTAATTATCCCTCTCCTTATATAATTAGTTTCTCAATTCCCATAGGATTTTTTTTTCTATCAGCATATAAATAAGCTGTACTATCTTTTTAGTTTTGAATTTAAAGGAAAAAAAAACCCCTCCAGTTCTTTCCTTATTTTTTATTTTTTTCTTAATAGCAAAAGTTCTTACAAGAATTTTCTACAAGTCATTGTCTTTGCTTTCTTATATTTTATCCACAGCCCACTTCAATCAGACCTTTTTGCCTAGCACTTCACCCCTATTGTTAAGGTCACTAATGGCTTTCATGTTGCTAAATCCAGTGGCTCTTTTTATACTTTCTTAAACTTAACCTTCCCCTGGGAGTTGACCCGCATCTTTCTTCTTGAAATCTTGAAATCGTTTTCTTCTCCTTTTGTTTCCTCTTGGCTTATGTGACACTGCATATCCTGGAAAGCGGGAGATAGAGACTTTTGTAATCAATTGAGGGAGAAGCATGAAAGGGAGTAAATACAGGACAGAGCAGGGAGAAAAAAATTAAAAAGGGCAAAGATATGGTTGTGATAATTTGTTACAGGAGCAGTGTGAAACTAATTCCGTCTCAGACTCTGAAATAAGCCTTTTCATTCAAATGACTGCAAGAATGTATTCCAACTTCACCTTTACAATAGAATAAGATCTTCAAACTAATAAATGCATTGTGCTTGTGTACACATGCATACGTGTACACACACACACACACGTATATAGAACAATGTTAATTCTCAGGTGAAAACATATATGGAAGTGAAACCATTACCATAAATTCTTGGGATAAGAAATTTCATTGTAAAAGTCTCTGTTTTTTTAAATATTAATTTAAACTATTGACAAAAGTCTATACCACATATAAGTAAAAATGTAAAACTGTCCAAATTTGCACCATAATTATTTTTCTTGTCTTGCATAAATTGATTTGTGAAAGCACCCAAGATTCATTTTCTTTTGCCCTTAATATTAAAAGTCTAAACTGTGAAGTTGATAATTGTCCATGAGTGGTAAATTACATTTGGAAATCAAAGAGCAGATTTTTTGTCTCTTGAAAAGACCAGTAGAGTAGAGGAAGGGGACAGGGGGGGAGGGAGGAGGGGAGAGGAAGGGAGGTATAGGAAACAAAATTGACAAAATTATATTGCATATATAAATATACAACAATTAATGCACTATTATGTACAGTTAAAATGCACCAATAAAAATAAAAAGAAAAGCCAGGCATAGAGGTGCACGCCCTAATCCCAGCGGCTCAGGAGGCAGCGGGGCTCTCCAGTTCAAAGCCAGCCTCAGCAAAAGCCAGGCTCTAAGCAACTCAGTGAGACTCCATCTCTAAATAAAATACAAAATAGGGCTGGGGATGTGGCCCAGTGGTTAAGTGCCCCTGAGTTCAATTCCTGCTATAAGTAAGTAAATAAATAAATAAATAGAAAGAAAGAAAGAAAACTGCCATGCTTTAGAAAACAATCCTTTATCACTGATTTATTGAACTAAAGAACTAAGAAGGAACTTTTAAACTTTTTCTATGTGCAGTTCTTCCTATGTCTGACCAATCTGTTATTTGTAGGACAGGTATATCCAGGGCACATCTTCTCTGCTTTACTCAGACCATTTCAGTAGATGCCTTTGTGAATTTTGTGATCACACAGAGGGCCACCAAAGTTAAAGACCCTCAGTTATATCCACATAATGGAGTGGTCTTGTTAGCTCATTTGGGAATAGTATGATGGAAGTCTTCAGATCTTTAGCTGTTTCTGATTTCCATTTACTGAGATTTCAGTGGTTGATTCTGTGGGTCACAATGTTAGAATACTGCTGGGTTGCTCAAGTGAGTTATGAATGGGTCATTAGTTCATTTTAAAATGCCCCTTTTAATTTTTTCATAATAGCAAAAGTTCTTCCAAGAATTTTATTACATATTACAAGAATTTGTAATATGATTTTAATGAAGTTGAGTGCTTTGATTGAGACTTAAATTGTGATTTAATTGGCATAGCATTTGAGCATGAAGCTCAAGTGAACTTCATAAAGATATTTTCAGGTGTGTAAATGAAGTAATTCTCAAATATCTTGGTTTCCTTAAGTTAGGTAGATCTGAGCAAACGGGCTTAAATTATTTATTTTTTCATCTGAAGGTGGATAATGTATGAGCTGATTAAATCTCTATATGTTTGTAGTTGAAAATACTAAATCTAGGAAACAACCTTTTAGAAGAAGTCCCAGAAGAGATGAAATACCTTACCTCCCTGAAGAAGCTTCATTTATTTGGAAATAAGATTTGTAGATTTGCATCTGGAGCATGTGGTAAGTTAGTCAAAGAATGACATTATAGTTTCAAATTTAACCCCTCATATTTAATAATACTGGACTGAAATGAGAAAGAATTTTTCATGCTATAATCATTTTTTGTTGTTGTTTTGGAGCTACTTTCACTTTTAAGATTAAGAAATTTTTGAGGCACTACTTTTGCTTTTCAATTTTTATAACAAACATTAATTACATGTAGATCTAAGAGAATAAATAAGCGTTAGTGTTAAGCTTAAACCAAACTGGTGTTAATTTTCTCCTTTTCAGAACTGGTGTACATTGAGACTCTTTGGAGGTCTTTTTCCTGAGTCAGAGTAAAATATTTTGAAAACAAAAATCAAGAGGAGCTCTCTACTATTCTCCTTGTTCTTTTCATTTTTTATTTGCTCCAGCTATTAAGTCACAATCTTTGGTCAAAATGTTAAATATGAGTCAATTAGGGGAGGATTTTAAAGGAAAGATATGAGATCCAATGACTTGCAGTCTTTACTTTGTGTTTGTTTTCAGCTAAATATTTCTCCATTCAGTATGACACTCTTATTTAATATAGGTACAGTGGGTTTAAGGATACATTTATGACAAAGAGATCCCAGGTGGTCTATATAGCTTTAACTCATGTAGGCACTTCACCACCTTGTATATTTGTTCCTGTGTTAGTTAGCTGTCATTGCAGTAACAAAATACCTGAGATAAACAACTTAAAAGGAGGAAAGGTTAATTAAGGCTCACAGTTTCAGAAGTTTCAGTCCATGGGTACTGTGTTAGTCAGCTTTCTCGCTGCTGTGACCAAAAGACCTGACAAGAAGAGGAAAGGTCTATTTTGTTTTTTTTTTTTTTTTGAGTGTTAAAGATTTATTTATTTATTTATAAAGCAAATGAACAATGAGTGCTTCATTTAATGAGCAATTTACTGAGTTATAATTACCTTAGTTATAAGAAAAATATTTTAACTTACAGGGTTTTTTTTTCTTTTTTTTTTTTCTTTTTAAATTTTTTATTGTGGGTTGTTCAAAACATTACAAATTTCTTGACATATCATATTCCACACTTTGATTCAAGTGGGTTATGAACTCCCACCTTCACCCCATACACAGATTGCAGAATCACATCAGTTACACATCCATTGATATACAAATTGCCATACTAGTGTCTGTTGTGCTTCGCTGCCTTTCACATCCTCCCCCCTCCCCCCTCCGAAAGGTCTATTTTGAAGTTCACAGTTTCAGATCATAGATGACCAACTCCATTCCTTGGGACCTGAGGTGAGGCAGAACATTGTGGTGGAAGGATATGGTAGAGGAAAGTGGCTCATGACATGGCACCAGGAAGCAAAGAGGGTGTTTTGTTCAAGAAAGACAAAATATAAACCCAAAAGGAACAAGCCCACTGACCTACTTCCTCCAGCTACACCCTACCTGCCTAGGTTACCCTAGGCAGTTAATCACTGTCAGTGGATGAATGCACCAATTAGGTTAAAGCCCTCATAATCCAATCATCTCTCCTCTAGACTTTCTTTCATCATCTCTCGCATGAGCTTTTGAGGAACACCTTATATCTAAACCGTAACAGGCATTTGGCCCTGTTGCTTTTGGGCCTGAGGTGAAGTGGCACATCATAGTGGAAAGTATGTGAGGAGCAAAACTGCTCACCTCAACAGTGGCCTGAAAGCAAAGAGAAGGCAGCAAGGGGGTGAGGAGGAAGGGTGTGGGTTTCCAATACCCTCTTCCAGGGCACTCCTCCACTGTCCTAACTTCTTTCCACTAGGTCCTGCCTCCTAAAGGTTCTACCATCTTCCAATAGCTCCATCAAGTAGGGACCAACCCACCAACACATGAGCCTTGGGGGAACATTCAAGATCCAAACCATAACAGTTCCTAATGGCAAAATTAGAGATATGTTATAGAATTTATGGATTTCTGTGAAATTTTGGGGGCAGGGGTGCCATACATCATCAACACTGCAATCACGTTCTCATATAATAACCACAAGGTACTTTATTTATTTCTTATATATTTTGCAAGGTTGGGGATTGAACATGCTAGGAAGGGCTCTACCATGAGTTACAGCCTCAGCTGTCAAGGTAGAACTTTGAAAATTTCCCTGTGATTTATTTAAATTATATTCTATGCAAGGTCCTGATTATCCAGGGGTAGAAGTGATTTGGCATCAGGTGTTGAGCGTTGTTCAGTGTGGGTTGGAAGCCTTGCTGTGTTACATGAGAATCTGTCCCTCTAACCAAAGCAGATTGACCAGGGTAGACATGCATCACCACCCTGAATCAGTCATAGACTCTCTTTCTTGAGGGTTGTGATAGTCTAAAACAGTTTAACTGGTTTGAGAAAAATCACATGACCTGAGACAAATGGAATGAGCTGCATCTGGTTCTTAAATAGGTTAGTTCTGTTTCGTTGGCCATTTCAAAATTTTTAACCAGGTGCCCAAATTTTCAAGTAGGAGAGTTCACAAAAATGTCTAGATCTCTGGCTCTTTTCTGTTTTACAAAAAGAAACAACACTGCAATCATATTCCCCCCTGACAATTGCAGGGAGTTGGCTGCATGGTGGTGGCTCAGGTTGACAAAGCATAAGACTTTCTTGATTTCTGTAGGCAACTGAGATGGAGAAACTCTGTTTGCCCTGACTGTGAACATTCAAACTCAGGAGTTGTGGAATGGTCCAGGATGGGAAAAGAGCAAATCTGTTCAAAAGAGAAAGAACATGTTGGGTGGGGAGAGACAGAGACAAAGAGAGAGGATGTAAATATGAAACTCAGAGAAGCTTTAATGTGAAAATAAAGCTTCTACAGAGTTATTGAAAGAGTATATCCCTGGTTCTGAGTGGCTTTTGGTTCCTAGCTCCAGTTTGTGGAGAGTCTGGTTTTACCTTCTGTCTCTCAGACACCATGACTTAGCTTCTAGTACTGGGGATTGAACCCAGAGGCACTTTGCCACTGAGCTTTATCTCCAGTCCTTTTCTTTATTTTCTTTCTTTCTTTGTTTTTTTGAGACAGGGTCTTGCTAAGTTACTGAGGGTTTTTCTAAGGTTCTGAGGCTGGCCTCAAAGTTGTTATCCTCCTGCCTCTGTAAGCCCAGGACTTCAGAGGCATGTGCCACTGTACCTGACCTCTATGAGGGTATTTGTCAACAGCAACCAAAGCAAAAAGCCAGAAAGAAAACAAAGGTGTATATAAAAGTGACTAAACCTTATTTTCTAACAGATGGCTCAAATGACTGAAATTATTTTCTAACAGATGGCTTACAAAATTTGATCCTGCTTAATCTGAACAGAAATCAGCTTACGTGGCTTCCTCAAGAAGTCAGCAAGTAAGTTGTTAATGGCAAGACTTGGTTAAACATTGCCCCCTTCTCTCCATCCCCATTCAGATCCTCTGAAAGCATCATGTCCAACCTCATGTCCTTGGGGCATTTATACACAACACAAAGGTTCTGAGGGACTGAAGTAAGATGATGATTTCAAGCAGATGATTCCCCCAACACTTAAGAGAACCCAGAAACAACATGACTTGGGTAGTCTTAGTGGAAAAGTGAGGGTTTGAAACAAAGTTCTAAAACTGATGTTGTTACGGATTTCTCAACTCTGGGATTCTTAGCACTTGCTCAGCCACAGAATTGGGGGCATTAAATTTTATTTTATATGAGTGTTGTAACCCATTTTGAGCTTGAGGGAAAAGGTAATATAAAAGCAAAGGATTTAAAACTACAATATCATTTTCATTAAAAAAAAACAAAGAAAAAAGAAACACCCACCCATTGTATTATCACTAACAACAGCAACAAAAAAATGCTGTTTTCTCCTATCCTGCACATCTGTGCAGACAGGCTGCCATTACAGTGCCTTTCCAGAGCCAGCTGAGGGTCTCATCTTTCTGCAGGCAAAACACCCTCTTGGGCTTTTCCTCTGACAGATGGAGAGAGAACTCTGTTCAGGTTTACTTTGGAGACTCTCTTTATTGCCTGTTGAACAGAAACAGATGCATTACAAAGTAAGAGCATCCAGATTTTATGGGAGGTTATGAAACTACGAATAGTTGTCCACGCAGGGCTTTTTGCAGTACCTAAAGTCTGTTCCAATTCACTTGTCTATACCTCCAGCTGAGGTATTATCTTTTAAAAAGAAACTTTTATAAGGAAAGTAATATTGTAAGGCAGGGCACCTAGAAAAAATTGAATTAATTTAATTTGTATAGAGGAGAAATATATATAGTAATTAAAATGCCAATAATTGGCTTCCCCGGAACCCTCTTATTCAGCTCATCAATTGATTTATGTATTGATGATGACATAATAACCAGAGGGTCACCTTAAAAGATCTGGTGAAAAAAAAAAGATCTAGTTAATGAAGTTTAAGCCATATCTTTGTGCAACCAGCCATATGACCTTGGGCAAATAATTTAGCTGCCTAGGACCTCATTTTTCTCATCCCTTAACAGAAGAATTTTGACGATCTGAATGTCAAAGGCCTTGCAGCTATAGTTTGTTATAATTTCATAATTCATAAAGCTTATTTCTGTTTGCAGTAGGATATACAATATTCAAGGAATCATAAATCTCAGGTGATACGTTGAAAAGCGAAGGACAGCTTTCACTGAAAAAGTAGGATGGTGAACTCTACAGGCCCCAGTTGCTTTCTAGATGGTTTTGGGTTGTCTGTATTCTTGCTTGGCCCTACATGCAAGCTGATCAGTCATCTCCCCAAGCAGAATTCCATTTCCTGACCTTGAAGAAGTTTCTTCCCCTTTCCACTCCTTAAATGTCTTCCTCTGCACAAGGAGGATGAAAACAGTACCAACTTTATAGGGTTGTTTTGAAATTCAAATATGTTAATCCATAAAAGGGATTTAGGATTGAGTAAGTGCTCAATGGATGTTAGCTTTTATTATTATGGGAAGCTATTTTTAGTCTGACTCTTTTTCTATTTCCCTCATTCACCTCTTCCCACAGACAAAAGAGTGACTCATTGAATTTGGGAAGAGCATTGGACACACATGGCTTGATGACTCCTCTCCCCCCACTCTGAAGTTAGCAGCCACCTCAGCAGGAAAGCCTATGAATTAAAGTTCAATTCAGAAGAGGGCTAATAAGGAATCTGAGAGGAATCAGGGCAGCTCTATGCTTCTCCTTCTGAGTCCTGTCTTATTTCTCAATTTGTTTAGAATCCAGAAGGGGTAGAGAAAAAGAGAGGATTGTGGTGTTTTGGCTTGCTTAAGCTACAGAGTAGAGTTCATGAGCTTACTGTCAAAGCAGGGGAGGTGAGAGTTTTACCACTAAAGGACTTTGTCATAGGTGGATCTTCAGAGCTTCACAAGGAGGAGAATGTAGGCATCCTGGAGACAGAATCTCTGAAAGACAGAGAGGCAAAGTGGAAGGAACCAAGCCAAAGGACTCATTTTGTTCAAATTCACCACTAGTAAGGTTGTTACATGAAGTCATTCATCAGCTCACTGGGGAGGAAGGAGGACAAGAAGCTGTAAGTGTAGTTCCTCCTCAGTTATTCTTTGGAAAAGTAATTTTCCCTGCTCTGTAGAAATGCAACCAAAATGGATACTTGTTTCCTCCCTCTCCTTTTAACTCCCCCCAAGTGCATGCTGAACACATTTGTAACAGACTCTGAGTTCATTTAGTGCCTTGAAGTAAAAAAGAAAGAAAAGCCAACTCCCATATAGTAATACAGAGTAAAGTCAATTAAACTAGTGATGATACCGCTGGTGATGAAAATCAAACAGGGCTGAGTTCTGTTTCCCCAGATGTGAAGACTGAACACCCAGGAAACACTGAGGTGTAGGAAGCAAGTTTTATTTGAAGGATGTAACTGAAATAGACTTCTCCTCAGAGAAGGGACCCCAGAGCTGGATATGCAAAGAAGTGGGGGTGCCTTGTCCCTTTTATACATTGGGAATTCCTTTGTTCTCATGTTCTCCTCCCCTTATCTTGCCTCTCTCCTCTCCCCATCCTGCCTATGTGACAAATCACTCAAAAGATGGGCCAAGAGTGAACCAAGCAGGAAGGTAGCAGCCCAGGAAGCATTAATTAACAACTCCTACCACTCCTTGCAGGGTGGAACAATCCCTGGAGCAGGTTACCTTAGCAACAGGTTGGAAGAGGAAGGGGAAGGGCTTTGAAAATGTCAGCATTGGATTTCCTTTCCTTTCTAACCAGCCCCTCCATCTTGCTGATCAAATCCAATTATTCATTTTCTACATTGACTGCCTTTTGCCCCCCACCCCCATCTGCTTCAATGATTATAAAAATGACTAATAAAACTCTCCATCCCTTTCTTCATAGGACCTACTCATAAAATTTCGCTCCCTTTCAATCTGAGTTTTTCTTCTATGACCCTTGTACTCCCTGCAAATGAGTCTGCTTTTTACTTTACCAAGAATTTTGAGCTCCCTCAGTTCCCTTCTTTCAACCCCTTTGTCTTCATTGGTCAACTTCTTTCCTTTCTCTCTAGATCCCTCTTTGTCTCTCTAAAGAGCTCTTTCCTTAGCTTTTGTTCATTCTTTCCTGCCCTCCGTTTTATTGTACATCCTTTTCAAAGGTCAATATTGTACTTATGTTAGCCAAATCTTATGGCATTTTCTCTCTCCTGAATAAAAATCACATAAAATTCATGAGGGTATACTTCAAAGAGTTTTGACAAAAATACAAACATCAATAATATATAGAATATTTCCTATAATCCAGTGATTTCCTCATGTTCCCTTCTAGTCTATTTTTACTTCTCATAAGCAACTAATATTGACTTTTATCTCTACAAGTAAGTTTTACCTGTTGTAGAACTAAATGAATGGAATCATACAGTATATACAAATTCTTTTGTGTTTGCCTTCTTTTGTTTAGTGCATATATATATAGATAGATATAGATATATAGATATAGATTTTTGTCTTCTTTTGTTTAGTGCATATATATAGAGAGAGAAAAAGAGAAATAGGAAAGAGAGAGAAATAGAGAGAAGTAGAAGAGAGAGAGAGAGAGAGAGAGAGAGAGAGAGAGAGAGAGAGAGAGAGAGAGAGAGAGATTCATCTTATGATGCTTTTATCAATAGCTCATTGTTTTTTGTTTATCCTAAATGGCATTTTATTGCATGAATGTGCTATAAAGCATTATATTTTTCTTCTGTTTATGCACATTTGGGTTATTTTCAGTGTGGGGTTATTATGAATTAAGCTATCAAACATTCTCGTGCAAGTCTTTTTGTGGAGTTATGTTACTTTCATTTCAATTCCTAAGAGTGAAATTATAGAATCAAAAGGTAAAAGTGTAGGTATTATGTAACTTGTGAAAGATTTACCAAGTTTTAACAAAGTGTATGCCTTTTTACATTCTAATCAGGGTTTTAAAAAATTGTATCCATTCTGCTATGTGTGAAGTAAAGTCTCATCATAGTTTCAGTTTGCATTTTCCTGATGGTTAACGACTTAAGCACCTTTTAATGATCTTATTCACTCTTTATATATCTTCTTTTGTGAAATATTTTTGTCATTAAAAATATATGTGTTGTTTCTTACAATTGAACTGTAAGGATTCTTTAATGCATTTGGGATACAAGTGCAATGACAAGTTCATGTACTGCAGATATTTTCTTCCAGTCTGCAGTTTATCTTTTAATTTTCTTAATGGTAACTTTTGATGGACTGAAGTTTTTAACTTTGATGATGGCAATTTATAAATATTTTTCTTTTATGATTAGAGCTTTTGGAGAGTCTTTTAAAAGAAACTTTTCCTGGCCAGACACAGTTGAAAATTATAATTATAACTCAGACACAGCAGCACAACCTGTAATCCCAATGGCTTACGACCCTGAGACATGAGTTCAAAGCCAGCCTCAGCAAAGGCAAGGTGCTAAGCAACTCAGTGAGACCCTGTCTCTAAATGAAATACAAAAGAGGGCTGGGGATGTGGCTTAGTGGTCCAGTGCCCCTGAGTTCTAACCCCAGTATCCCCCGACCACCCCAAAAAGAAATCTTTTCCTATCCCAAAGTTTTCTATCTTTTGTTTTTCAATGATTGTAGTTTTAATTTTCATTTGGATCTATCACCCATCTTGAATTAATGTTTGTATATGTATGGTGGAAGGGGGTGGTCAAAGTTCATCCAGTTTCTAGAACATTTTGTTCAAAAACTCCCTCTTAGTTGAATTGCTTTGACACCTTTGTCAAAAACCTATTGATCATTTATGGATCATTTGGACTTTATTTTGTTCTGTTGATTTATTTTTCTGTCTCAATCCATTTGGGATGCTCTAACATACCATAAACTGGGTAGCTTATATACAACAGATTTTTTTCCTTATAATTCTAGAAGCTGGCAGATTTGATATCTGAGAGGACACATTTTCTGGTTCAGAGAACAGTGCTTTCTCCTTGTGTCCTCACATAGTAGAAGGGGCAAGGCCACTCTATGGGGCCTTTTATATAAAGCTGTGATCCCATTTATGAAGGCTCCACCCTAATGACCTAATGGTCCCACCTTCTAATGATCTCCCAGTGGTGATGGGTCTCTAACATATGAATTTGGGTGGGTGGCCAGGGACACAAATAGTGAATCCACTACACTATCTTTTTTTTTTTCCCCCCAGGACTGAACTACCTTGGTTACTGTAGCTGCCTTGTAAGATTTGAAGTTAGATTATAGGAATGCCTCCATACCTCCCCCTCCCCTTTCCTCTTTCTTTTCTTTCCTTCCTTCTTTTTAGTTTTGTTTCTTTAGTACTAGTTCTTGCTATTCTGGGTCCTTTGAATTTCCATATAAATATCAAAAAAACCCATTGAGATTTTTATTTGGATCTCTTACTGAATCTACAGATCTATTAATGGAAAAATTGACATGTTAGCAGTGTTTTTTTCTTTCTACACATGAACAAGATGTATCTCTACTTTTGTTTAGAATCCCTTTAAATTTTCTGAGTTATAATTTATAGTTTTCAACATAAAGGTCCCTCATGTCTTTTGTTAAATGTTTTCTTACCTATTCTATAGAGAGTTTTAAAAATTATGTTTCTACAGATGGAATTCCTTAAACTGTACTTTCCGATTGTGGCTACAAGGTAGAGATAGAATAGATCTTTAGAATATTGACCTTATAATTTCTCTCTCTGTTTTCAGTCTTAGCCTTTAGTTTGTTAATTTCAATTATATCTCTTTGACATTTAAACTCGACATTTAAATTCTTGACCATCCCTTTGATTTTTAAGTACTCTTCTCCCACACCTTTAGAGATTACTAGTTAATCTGAGTCTTTTTATATTTCTCTACGCATGACTTCTCTGTGTGCCTTTAAGTTTTAACTGTCAGGTATTCATTTTTCTGAGGACTCCTCCTGTTGGCTTCTCCCTCTCTCTTTCCCTGCCTCCGCTTTCTTCTTTTTTCTCCTGTCACTCACATGGCTTCCACCACTGTGTGCATGGAGTCCCCTCTCAGTTGCTCTCACTGGCGTGATCCCTTCCCCAATCTCCAGTCTCACACTTTCAACTGCCTAAGAATAATAAGAGCAATAATTCTGACTTTGAGACCAGAGATGATACCCGTGTGGAGAATCAGATTCTAAGTCCCCATCCACTGGGGCACCTGAAAAGCGCCGAGGAAAGAGCAAAATGACTCTTACACAGAGGAGGGGGTCGAAAGCTGGTGCCCCAGGGAGTGAGGGGGTCCTTTTATAGATTTCAGATTTCCTTTGTTCTTATGCCCCCCTCTTCTCATTCTGCCCTCTTGACCCAAAACATGGAATGATCCAAATGCAGGAACAAGCCACCCAGGGTACAGGCAGAACGGGAGCCACCCAGGGGCTACTCATTAACAACTCCTTGTAGGGAGGAATAATTCCCTGGAGGCAGGTAAACTTGGCAACAGGTTGGAGGAGGGGGAAGTCTCTGGAGGTATTAGCATTTTATTTCCTTTGGAATCAGCCCCCATCTTCCTCACCCAGTCATTCACTACCTACACTGACTGTCCTTTTGTCCACTGGCCTCAACTTCAGGGTTATACTGATTATTATATTTAATACACAATTCATGCTTAGTGGTAACAATTCCCTTCTGTTTCTTTATTCATAACATTTTCATAGCTTAGCATTCCCTCTTGTTGTTTTCCTCTTTTACTAGTTCTATTTTTCAGAATAAAATAAAAAAATGTTAGTTCTTCCAAAAAAACTTGTGATATACTTCAAATGCAATATCTGCCACATTAGACTCACATTTCCTTAATATTCATTTCCCTATCATCTTCCTTTCTTATTAAATTTTTTCTTTTAGTACCTAGTGATATTTTCCTTCTGAGTCATATCCCTGGTTATTTTTATTTTTTATTTTGAGACAAGGTCTCACTATTTTGCTTAAAGCCTCATTAAGTTGCTGAGGTTGGCTTTGAAATGGGGACCATGGGGGATCCTCCTGCCTCAGCCTTCCAGAGCCTCTGGGATTCAGGTATACACCACTGCACCTGGCTATCCAGTACATTTTTTATCTTCACTTTCTGGTTTTAATGTCTTTTTCTAAACTGTGGTATCTGAAAGAGCAAAATTTGTGGTTGATTCATCTTTGTGTATTCCAGAGCAAAAAATTAATACTCACATCTGCTTGGTACTGGATATGTCTTTACTATTTAATCTATCTCTATCTATTTATACCTATATCTCTATCTATCCATCCACATGTATATGCATATCTTTCTTTGTCCTCTAGCTTCCTTTTTGATAGTTAATGTATAAGTATAAAGATTGAAAATAAAATTTTACTTTTTAAAAAATCTCTATATTTATTATATAACATACTTGTGACATAGCCATCTGATTATAAAGAAATCTTTTTTTAATATTTATTTTTTAGTTGTAGTTGGATACAATATCCTTATTTATTTATTTTTATGTAGTGCTGAGGATCGAACCCAGGGCATCACCTGTGTTAGGCAAGTGCTCTACTGCTCAGCCACAACCCAAGCCCCTAAAAAGAAATCTTTAAAAATTAAATTTCAGCAAAGACTTTTTTGCTAAAATGACTTACAGTAGATGTAAACACTTGACTAAAGTGAACCTCAGATGAGGTACGTAAAATAAGTGACACATGGCTTCTGATGGGTTGTGCCTGTACTATGGATTCTCTTATTATGAGTTTAATTCATGCTTTTTTTTTTTAAGATTAAAAAGCCTTACACATCTGAGTTTAAATTGCAATAAGCTAGTCAGCATTCCCACAGAACTTTGTCTCCTTAAGAATCTTCGTGAACTTCAACTTAACTACAATGAACTCAGTTGCATACCTGAAGAGATTAAGTTCTTGAAGAAGCTCTGGAAGTTTCTTCTGGTCAGGAACTACATTGAAGTTTTGCCAGAGGTAAGCAAAGCATGGAACCTTGTGTTTTTGTTTTGTTTAAGTGAGTAGTATATGTTTAATTTATAACCATCTATATAGAATAAAGCACAGGTTCATTTGAAATATGTGCTGGATGTCTTCCATTTTTCCTCTTTATCTGTCATCAATTCTTTACAACCTGCTCTGTGCCTGGACAGTTTATTAGTTATAGGCATCTAACAAAGGAGTTAGAGCTCCTTTGTCCTCTGGCTTCTTCTTGGATATAACCAATGATATCCGTTAGCTCAGAATGAAAGGGCATGAGGAGAGAGAACCAGAAGCAATTACTATGGCACCTTCTCTGGCAGAGTGAGCTAGGTATACCTTTCCAGAAGGCTGTAGTTCATGTCAGGTGGTCCTCTCATAAACCATGACTTCTGTCCTTTGGCTTTTTAAGAGTAGCATGGTAAAGAACCCCCTGTTACTTCTCGCTTCATAGGTTTAAGGAGCCACTTTTCTAAGGTTTGAGGAACCTTAGCTTCCTTAAAACTAGTCTTTTATAAATAGTGCCTTTACTAAACTTTCCTCAGATTTCCCAGTTCGAGAGTTCTATTCTACCAGGAACATGTCAACACATTTACCTTCCTTCCTTATGCAAATTAGAAACAACAATTTGACAAGGAATGCATGTTATACAGCAAATCAAGGAACAAAAAATTAGCAGATTAGAGCAGATTATGCTAAGTGAAGCTTGCCAATCCCTAAAACACAAATGCCAAATGTCATCTTTGATATAAGGAGAGCAACTAAGAACAGAGCAGGGAGGAAGAGCATGAGAAGAAGATTAACATTAAACAGGAACGAGAGGTGGAAGGGAAAGGGAGAGAGAAGGGAAATTGCATGGAAATGGAAGGAGACCCTCATCGTTATACAAAATTACATATAAGAGGAAGTGAGGGGAAAGTGGGAAAAAAAAAAAACAAGGGAGAGAAATGTATTACAGTAGATGGGGCAGAGAGAGAAGATGGGAGGGGAGGGGAGGGGGGAGGATAGTAGAGGATAGGAAGGGCAGCAGAATACAACAGACACACTAGTATGGCAGTATGTAAAAACGTGGATGTGTAAACGATGTGATTCTGCAATCTATATACGGGGGAAAATTGGGAGTTCATAACCCACTTGAATCAAATGTATGAAATATGATATGTCAAGAGCTTTGTAATGTTTTGAACAACTAATAATAAAAAAAAATTAAAGGACTGTGGGTGTAGTTTGATGGTAAAGCACCCCTGATTCAGTCCTCAGTACCACAGGGGAAAAAATTAAAATAAAAAGAGTAATAACTTGCAATTTGATTCTAAAAAAAATTAGCAGATTGATTAGGCATGTATATAAGTGAAAAATCCCTACCACTTCACTTTTCTTTTATAAGAATAATACTTTAAAAATTTTTAACTATACTATAAAGCAATCTGTAATGACATGGTGGTAGGCTGTATCTGAGCACATTTCAAAAATTTTATTCTAAAAATTCCAATTTCTGTAAACACATAAAATAAATGTTAAAATTATAAAATAAATCTATTAAAACAAATTTTTGTTTGAGGGAAATCAATAAAAGCTGCAATGCATCATCATATGAAACAATTTTTTTAGTGTTCACAACAGCTCTGTGACAACACACTTCGTATTATCACCATTAGAATAAGGAACAAGAACAGTTGAAACTTGACACAATATTGAAAGAGAAAAGGGGGTGATGCCCATATCTGTCTGATTTAAACATATGTTCATCAAATTTGACCTTACTCTTATTGCAATTTTATAAATCCCAAGAAGTATAAGTTTTTAAAATTAAAATTATAATCAGTCTTATCATGAACTTTCATCTAAATAATGCCTTGGATAATTTAATTCTTTGGACATTTAATACGATTCAATCTATCATTTTTCTTTTTTGCTTGCATTATAAGTGATAAGGCATTATAAAAACTCTTTGTTTTGATAAAGAGCAAATTATGAATCTTTTCTTGTACATTGTAAATTACATTTATGTCTGCACATGGACACCAATGTGCACTTTTATGTTTATTTTTACCCCTCTTCTGGTAGGTCAGGCACTTCATTTTATTTCTATAAAATAGTCTGAAGGATAGGCAGATGACTCTCTGACTGAGAAAAGGATGGACCGAGGACTTATAAAATGTGTTTGGAAGAAAAAACTTTCACCATGTTTATGATCATTGAAGTCAAAGAACAATCTCTTTGGATTTGAGTTTGTGTATTGGTAAGCAGAAGAGTTATAAGAGACAGTATGTTAAACAAAAAACTTTGGTTTTTAGAGAGACAAATATTCTATTTAATTGCCAGAGCTGGCTTTCATAAAACTGTTTTTATAGGCAAAATTAGATAATAGAATGATCATAATTCAGAGAAATATGTTTGAATCCCACTACTTAAATGTAGACTGCCACTTCTTGTGGCTTTAGAAGTAAGGCAGATAGATCATAAGGTAACAATGGCAGCAGAATTTGAAAACTCCCAAAAAGAATTTCAGAATTCATAAACAAAGACAGATAATTAGGAACTAAAATAAGAGTGGTCAACATAATGTCTAATCCGTCTTTCCCCAAACCATTCTCCAAAGGGTATGAGTCTTGTTGTATTCTTTTGAGAACATGTGTTTTCAAAGATGCTATCATGGACTGAATGTTTGTGCCCCTCCAAAATTCATATGTTGAAACCCTAACTTACAATGTAATGATACTAGCAAGTGGGGACTTTGGAAAGTGATTAGGTCATGAGGGTGGACCCTCATAAATGGGATTATTGCCCTTATAAAAGAGGCCTCAGAGGGCTCTAAAGCTCTCTTTCTACCCTGTGAGGATCTGAGAAGTTAGCAGTTTGCAACCTTGGACTTGCAGTCTCCAAAAATGTGAGAAATAAATTTTTGTTGTTCATAAATTTCCCAGGCTATGGTACTCTGTTTTAACAGCCCAACTTAGATAGGTATATCACCCCTTCTTGGAGATTTAGAAAATGCATTAGTATGTTAAAAGTCTTGAGAAGTCCTGTAGTAAAGCTGTTTAACTTTGTTAACAGAGAATTTCCTGAATTTAACTTAGATTTCTCACTTGATAGCAATATCCCATGGAATATGCTTTTGGAAAATAGGACAAATGACAATTTTTTTAAAATTTAAAGATGTAATTCATATGTTTTCATTCATCATAATGAATACTATGAATACTATCCTTTAACTCAGTGATTAGTATATAGTTCACATATTCAGTGATTAGCATATAGTTGACATTAAATATATGGTTACGTTTTTCTTCTTAGCATCCATCTATGCTTATTCTCATAATGATATCAGCATTTAGCTTTGTGAAATTCCCCCTTATCCAATCACTTTGTGACATTTCCTTAGTGTTGACCTGTCCCACTGGTCAGGTCAGGTCAGGTCCAGCATATCAGAATATTCCATCCCACTGGACATAGTGCCTTGATCAATGAGAGGCATTTGACTTAAGCTAGATCAATGAGAAGGAACTTTGCTGGACTCATGGGAAATAAATGCATTCTTTGTGTTGTGATTGGTAAACTGGGAGAATGCAAGCCCAGATTTACTAGTTTCTATCTTGTCATTCTTTGGGAGACTCTGACTTCAATGTGCTATCACAAAAGAAAGAGACAGTGGCACTACTGAACACCTAGAACCAGCTATAAGAAAATATCAACATTTAAAAATTTTTCTGTTACCTCAATTTACCCATTTGTTGGTTTGGATTGAGTTTCTATTAACTTGCAATCTAAAGAATCCTAAGAAATTAATACACATGACATGCATAAAAGACATTTCATAATCTGAATTCTTCTTTCCTCAGTCCTTTTTGCTTGCTGTCTTTTGGACCCACTACATGCCTTATGGTTATCTCCTAGGGATTCTTGTCTCTTAATTGAACATTCTTTATTGCAAACATATCAAACAATCTCAGTTTAAACTTTATTTCTTCTGGAAAGCCTTGTCTGATCTCATAATACCAAATGCCCTATAATTTTCTCTCATATTTCTGTATCTTTAACTCTTCAGAACACTTGCCATTCACACAGTACAACTCTGTCATCACTCATTTGTGAGTTTTTAATTCTTGATTAAGGAATTTTGGAGAATGTAAATATGTAAAGATAAAACCAAGTCAAGAACAAAAAATATCAAGAGGGATCAATAGCAGCAGTTATGAACAGCAAGAACAAAAAATGGAAAAGAAACTCAACAGCCATAGAGTTAGCACTATCAAGTGTTTCAAGTGGCTGGAAAGCCTTTATATATATATATATATATATATATATATATATATATATATATATATATATATATATTTTTTTTTTTTTTTTAAAGAGAGAGAGAGAAAGAGAGAGAGGGAATTTTTTTTTGTCTTTATATAGTATCATTTTATTTTATTTTATTTTTTTAATTTTTTTATTGTTGGTTGTTCAAAACATTACATGGTTCTTGACATATCATATTTCACACTTTGATTAAAGTGGGTTATGAACTCCCATTTTTACCCCATATACAGATTGCAGAATCACATCAGTTACACATCCATTGATTTACATATTGCCATACTAGTGTCTGTTGTGTTCTGCTGCCTTTCCTATCCTCTACTATCCCCCCTCCCCTCCGCTCCCCTCCCCTCTTCTCTCTCTATCCCCTCTACTGTCATTCATTTCTCCCCCTTGTATTATTTTTCCCTTTCCCCTCACTTCCTCTTGTATGTATTTTTGTATAACCCTGAGGGTCTCCTTCCATTTCCATGCAATTTCCCTTCTCTCTCCCTTTCCCTCCCACCTCTCATCCATGTTTAATGTTAATCTTCTTCTCATGCTCTTCGTCCCTACTCTGTTCTTAGTTACTCTCCTTATATCAAAGAAGACATTTGGCATTTGTTTTTTAGGGATTGGCTAGCTTCACTTAGCATAATCTGCTCTAATGCCATCCATTTCCCTGCAAATTCTATGATTTTGTCATTTTCTAA